TGTTAATTACCAAGTGTCTGAATTTTGATCATGAGACCTAGGGATACATTTCTTAGTGCTGTTGTAACTTTGAATGTTACTAAATTAATGGTTGTAAATCGAGAACTACCTGTAAATGTTACTGATTGCAGTGGAATTACACCTGAGCATAGGATTGCAAGGTTAGCCTATGATTTTATGAATTTTCTTTGACAATTTTCTTGGATATGTTGAGAAGCTCCAAACAATACTGATATGCTCTTGAGCTCCATAGGGCTCACTGTGATTACAGGTATTGTGTTTACATAAAGTGTGCTTTCTGTATTTTTATGAAAGGAGAAGAGATTAGCTACATGCGTCTCCTTTGCAATTATAGTTAGTGACCATAATAATAAATTCTTCACTATTTTGTAACGTACAGAGCTATTGTATCAGAATTAGGAAAAACAAATCTCTCTGAAAGTTTTGTAGTTTGAAGCTAGCATACAAACAGCAACTAAAATGTTACTAAGGTTGAGCTGCTAAAAAGTAAAAAGAAGTGGGAGGAATTAGCTGGGATCTGTTAGTTACTTAATTTCCAGTCAGTTTTCTTTTTAAAGATAAAATCCAAACCAAACAAAGAAAAAACCCTCTATCCTTTGCTTTCCCCTTTCCCCTTTCCCACAGGCTAGCAGACGTATTAGGTAAAGACAACATAAATTAGGAGAATTAAAATGGATCCTGCTTGTTCCTTTCTAATCACTGTTAAACCAAAAGGAAGACACCATATGGGATTGTAGAGCTGGGGAATCTCTCAAAGAACAGCTTTTCCAGGGCTCCCACAAATTTGACAATATCACTAAGTTCCATTACTAAAAGTTCTAGATGTCAGTATGTGCTGCCTTTCCTAGTTTAGCCATCTTTATTGTGAGAACAATGAATGGATCATATCATCATGTATTAGTATGACATGCTATAAAATGAACATTAAGCATATTTCCCTCACCATACTCCATACTGGAATTTACCTGCATAATATTGGCTAAGTAATTGAGAGCATGTACTTCATCTTCATTGCGGGGTGTAACACGGTAAACCTTTTCTCTAAAGAAAACAACGGAAAGATATTACTTATAACAGAAAAGTCATTGGGCTGTTCTGAAATGTTCTGAAATATTATTTTGTGTTCTTACTTACCCATCAAATCTTTGAACTGTTGCTTCAGCAAAAGCTGAAGAGGCACCTATGAAAAGCAGTAAAAGCCACATCTTGCTTCTCCTGTGAAGTGTGAGGCAGCAATAGTGTTTTTGCTTGCTTTTATAATATCACGTCTCTTATCTTTCTCAAACACAACTGTGAAAACCAGATCATTTTCCATTGATTAATTTTCTGACCTTGTTTTGTTTGATAGACTATTTCTTAAGATAGGGCTCACCTGTGGAAATAGACAGGAAAATCTCACATGGAAGAGATAAGAGGGTTATTTTCATACAAAAAAAAAGGTGGGGAAACCAGAAAGCTCTAAATAAAAATTAAACATTTGAGCAGGGAACTTTTGAACTAATGAAAATTATACATAAATTTAAAGATCTCAGGATTTCTTCAGCGGACAGACTGAGGGAGAAGAAGGCGTGGAAAGGAAACAAACTGACTAAGAAAAGGAGTTTGCCCAGTTTACATGAGAGAATAAGTATGGATCCCAGTGGATTACATTTTATTAGTTGTAATCTTGTTTCACAGTTATTAAAGTGGATTATTTCCCTACCCTTTGAAAATATAAATCTATATAAAATCTAAATGGATTTATTTTAATTAATCTTCCTCAAGAAAAACACACATCTTGGGATCACTTATGTTACTAAGCCATAGTTTTCTTGACTATGTTTTCTTGACGGACTTGGTTCACATGTATGTTATAATTTATAGTCTACAAATCACAATGGATACATTCACACATAACTAATCACATTTGTGATGCTGAGTATTAAATACAACCTAGGGAATCTGACAGTGAACTATACACCTTCCTGTACAGCTGGTATTTCCGTAAGCTCCTAAACTTTATCTCAGGGCTAATGGTAGAGCCCCCTCTGGTTTTAAGAGTTGGAAGACTTCAACCTTCAACATCTGGGGAAGCTAAAGAAGGTAGAGAAGGCTTGGGAAATTTGTGGAACTCACAGCAAACATGTAGTAACTCATACAGGTAGTTACGTTTTAGAATACTTTTCACCTGTATGTAATTAGCTGGAAATTCAAATCTGTGTTTGATCAAATTACTGTTCTTGAATTTCATACCACTTGTAATCTTTGCAACATGGGAAGACTGCTATCCCATGTAGGTGCTTCCTGGCTCCAAATTAATTAAGAAACAGTGTTTCTTCCTCCATGGATGGTCTCAGTGAATTACAAGAAAGTAAGAGGGGTCATACAGGTGAATATTCACTTGTGGAGTGCTGCAGGAATCATTGTTCCCATGATTTTAAATGTCTACCTGGAAATGGTTGTGCACAAGTTTGGAATGAAGCATCAGCAATATACTGATGATACTCAATTGTTTATCACCCACTGAGAACAAGTTGGGATGGAATAGAAGTCTTGAACCAGGGACTGGAAACTGTAAGGGACTGGATGGAGAGAAAGAAACTGAGACTGAATCTCAGAAAGGTGGAGATGCATTTTGTCCTGATAACCATCTCGCATTTTGTCTGTTCCAATAATAGTTTTGGCTGGGGAGATACTTTCCCTGAAAGAATGGGTCTGCAATTTGGGAGTACACATAGACTAAGAGCTATTGTTATTGCACAATAATCAGATGAAGGATGTGGCTGGTGGAGGGGCTCTTTGCTCAGTTGCACTTTGTTTTCCAATTGTACCGCTTTTGGGAGCACAAAGCTGTGACAATAGTTACTTACACATTGTCACCTCTATTCTAGAAACTACCACAATGTGTCCTGGATGAGACTTTAAAAATTACAATTGATGTAAAGCAAGCAAGAAAGTAAGCAAACAGCAGCCCACATGCTGATGTGTAAGAGTTGCAATAATACCAGTTCTGCAGGTGTTGTATTGTCATCCAGTAGACTTCTGAGTATTATTTAGTGCCTAAAATATGTTTGTTGTTTGGCATCTGGATCTTATAAGGGCTGCTCCCTTTAGGTACCATCAGCCTATCTGTTTTGTTGATTTCAAGCTAATGCTGAGAGTCTCCCTCATTGCATGCACTCCAGATTGATAAAGGAGCAAAGGTTTTTTAGCATATCATCATCCCTATGTAGCAATAGTAATAGCCATAGCACTTAGACTTATATACTGCTTTACAGCGCTATACAGCTCTCAGTTTACAGAGTCAGCCTATTGCCCCCAACAATCTTGGTCCTCATTTTACCAACCTCGGAAGGATGGAAGGCTGAGTCAACATTGTGCCTGGTAAGATTCGAACTGCCAAATTGCAGGCAGCTGGCAGTCAGCAAAAGTAGCCTGCAGTACTTCATTCTAACCACTGTGTCACCTTGGCTCTTATGTAATACCTTATCCCAAGAGGTATCGACAGTGCCCCCCATTGATGTTTGAAAAGACAGGCAAATCAGAAATTTCTTCACTAAAATTATTTTTAGTGTTAATACTTATTGGACTGCCAATGTAAGATTTGTATTTAAATTATTTAATTAAACTTTTATTCCCCAAATAAATATTAATTTACAATTTAAAAAATCCTAATTTTACAGCCTAACAGGCATTTTGTCCGCTATCTCTTTCCTGGAGTCTGACCAACTAAACCTGGAGATTCTATGAACAATTGTAAACTGCCAATGTGAATATTCCAGAGACTTAAAAACTTTTAATGTGAAAAATTAATGTCTACAATTCTTATCATTTAATACATTTTCAGATTCATAAAAACAGTGAAGAGACAACAATGCCGAATGATCAAGAGCCCAGAACTTATAATAAATAAATGATGAAATGGAGTAATCAAACAAATTGTACATGTTGTTCCCTGTTGAGCAACAAGAGACTCAGAAATGTAAGATTGTCAAGATTTCCTGTATTTGAATTCAATTTTAGGAAATTCTTCATGCTTTATAAGCAGCTGAGAGACTATTTTTGAAAAAAAAAACCTAACACATCACTAGTTTTGGTAGTTATGAAATGTCCACACAATATGGAAAATTGTAATTTTGCAACAGACATTTTGTCAATGGTAAGATTAGAAATACTTCCTGACATGGGATGCCATTGTTTGTTTTATATCCAAGGATGTATGGCCATTTGTAAAATCATCTCAGAAAATAATTCTAAATGAATTTTTAGTTCCCCCATAACTATAATAAAAAATGTTCCATACAGCATTGATAATGAACCAACAATAATTTGGAATTTTTCATTCATTGCGAGCCTGTAGATAAACTCCCAATCAAGACTGCATACATTATTGCCTCTATGTACCACTTTTATTTAATTGAAAGTTTCAATGCTGTTGAATAGGAGGACAGAGAAAAGGTAGAGGTAGAACAGAGGTGATATTCAGCAGGTTCTGACCAGTTCTGGAGAACCGNTGCGGCTCTTACCACTTATACGAACCACTTATATATTATCTAATAAATACTGCAAAAACATACTCGTAGTTCAGCCCATGATGCTGTAGAATGCTCTCCACTTCAGAATGTCTGCCTGCTTCAATTCGAAAATCAACAGTCATTTCTGCTTTCACTAGTTCAACAGAATCTGGTCTCCAAAAGTCAACCTGAACAGAGAAAACCATGGCAAAAAAGGACATATGATTTCAGGCTAAAACATTTCCATCAATGACCTTATTATAGAATCCCTTGGGATTATGGGGTGAAATGGAATAAAAGATGGGTACAATATATTTTATAATTTGTTTATTAAATACATGTCATATTTCCTTTAGAAGCATAAACCAGTGTACGTTAGGGATGTATGTACTTTACCCGTACTGAGTGGGTTTGCAAGTGAATCACTTCCTTTTCATTTAAAGAACCCAAATTTTATTCAGACTCATGGAAAAGCCTGAAAAATAATATTTGGACTATGTTGTTGTCCATGTAAATAAGTCCTGCATTCAGTAGATATTGGCTCCTGATGAATTGATTTCTGTGAAGTGGCACAAGGGCTTACATGTGCAAGTGATCTTGGCAGTGGATAAGAAGGTGATACACTACCTAGGAATGGCCACAGCACACAAAAGGGCAAGGCTGGATAAGGGTAAAGGTTTCTAACACTATTTGAATGGCACTGACTCTAATTGGATCACTGCAAACCTTTAAACTTTTGCAGTGTCTGGAAAATGGCAATGCAAGGACTTTTATTGAATAGGAGAATCAAAACAGGCGTAAGTTGCATTGTAAGATTATTTGGACAAAAATGCCCAATAATTTTTTAGTAATGGTAGAAACATCTTCTCTAAGTTGATCTCATGCACAGCCTGTATAGTTTTCTTAGCAACAATGTGAAGGTGGCTTCTCATAGTGCTTTTCTAGGTCTTTTTGCTGACGTCTTAATCTAGTTTAGAAGATTGATATTTCTCAGAACTGAAGCACTTCATACAAATCATTTACAAAGCATGCACAATCTTATTGAATGTAGCACTCCTTCCTTCAGATATCTCCCAATAACAATAAATTTGAGAATTAAGATGGGTTGACTTGTACAAAATCATCTGCAAGCTTGCATGAGTGTGGAGTGTGGATTCTAGGTTTTTCTTGTCCTAGTCCAGTGTCTCACTTACTAGACCAGTGTTTCTCAATCTTGACCACTTTAAAGATGTCTGTACTTTAATTGCAGAATTCTGAAGCCATCAATTGCTGAAATTCTACATCCAGCTACTGCGCTAAACTTGTTTTAGTTCTCCTTAATATGTTTCAGGCTTATCAGCTCTCATTTCTGCTTTCCTACCTATTCTTCCTAGGTAATATGTATAATTCTATAATGTAGTTATGGTTGCATTCAAGGAGTTTTCCCTTTCCCAGTCCAACCCAATGTGCATACTGGGATATATAGGAGACCTGTCAACATGAAAAAATACAGTCCTATAAATGTCCTAACTGGAATGAATTGAAATAATTATTTTGGCCATTAAAAGCACCATTTCTATATTTGCTGAAAAGCATGTCTGTACATTAAAGTCTCAGAATAACTGGAATCCACAAGACAATCATTAAAATGTCTTCCAATGAGAACTAACTAGAAGTGGTTTTAGCACTGAGAAACAAATTAACAAAAACTGTATGAATGTATTGCCTTATTGTGGCATATATTGTATATTCTTTTAAATTAGAGGCTTATAGCCAATTTTTATTTGGATGTACTGAAAGGTTCTTTAAAGACTTCTTGTGACTAAAGCATTTCTGAAAGGTGCCTGGTTTCTAAGCAGTGAACAAATATTATTACTTCTGGCACTGCTATCCATAAACAAGATCAGCTGTTATCTAAATATGCAGTGACAAATATGACTTTTCTCCTTAGATCATGTATGGTTGCCTCAGATAACAATTAAAAATAACAACTCCATCCTTGCTTTTGTTGTGGCTTCACTTTATATATTTAATTTATTATTATTATTTTTTACTTCACTCACATGATTGTATCATACCATTCCTTAAATGGGTGCTTTTTCTTATGAACTTTTGGTGCAATTCAGTCATAGGACTAATCCAAGGTAAAATTTGTTTACCCAGAATTTATAAAAGCAAAGCAAAGCAAAACAAAACAAAACATTGGAAAGCTTAAGGCTTTGAAAGTCAGAGTCAGTAAAACATGAGACATAATTCATGACAGTTGTTCATTATGGTTTGAGAAGAAGAAAGAATAGCTTACTTCTAAATGTTTACTTGAAAATAATGTTTTATTTAAGGCATTTTATTCCCAAGAAAGCATATATGGTACTGTAAATCATTTCTGTTAAAAACTATTATTTAATGGTCAAATGTATAGATAAGAAATTGATGTGCATATGCCAGTATTTATGGCTAAACAAAATTTTATGAATTATTAATGCAGAAATATTTGGAAATAATTAGTAGTGTTACGCATGCTTCAAAAATGAGTTGGAGGAAGCATTTTGGACACTGGGTATCTGTCAGCTATTGATTTTAAAATCCTGACTTTTTCATGTTTCTGGATGTGAAACAATCTGTTTCTTTCCCCCCTTTTTATCACTTGAGTTTTAATCAAGTGATTTGAATGTTAGCCAATTTCTCACTTCCATACTAGGAAATCAGTGGTCATAAAAAGGAAAGGAAAATGAAAAAAAAAAAGTCTCAGGAATTATTTCCCAATTCCATTTCAGTATCCCTCATTTTCTTTAGTAGTATCTTTACAAAACATTGATTCAGTAATTTTATTTAGAGTATCAATTCCAAATGATTTATTTAAGGTTATTGAAATCTGCGTTGTTCATTTTGCTTAGACTAGATTCCGATATACAGTATGAATGATAACTGAAGCAGCATCCTTCAAAATTATCGGTAACTTAAATGTAAACAAATTATAGGCAATGTAAATAGCGATTATTCCAATGCTGTGTCCCAGCTGAGATGGTTCTCTAATTATAGCAATTTTTCTGATAAAAGATTAAGCACGAGAAGCACACTGATCCTACTCTGGTATGTCGGTTCCAGTTACTTCTTGGATCAGAGATAAGATACTTATAACTTATAGTTTGCCAAATATTCTTTTTTGAGGTGAGTCCTTATAATTGTGAGGCCTATGGACCATGGTAACTACTTAGCAACTGGGTCATTATGATTTCTACCAATCTCTGCTGTACTCTCATCAGATGACTATCAAATACTGCATCCAGTTTGTTTATCAACATACTTACAACCTAATAGTGCAAATGNAAAACTGGCTGAATACCTCCTCTGTATCCCTACAAACTTTCCAGAATTGTAGTTGGAGATGCCCACACTGCTTCATCATGCCAATCACATTTCAAAGTATGATTTAAAAGTGCCAGGATGTGAAATGATGTTGCATTATTTCTAAAGAAGTCAATGGTGGACAGCGGCAGAAAACTTTGGAAAATCACAGATATTTCTGGAATGCTTAAGAAGCAATGAGATATGGTGGAAAACATGCTATGGGGAGAGGCATGTGTTACAGTAACTGGTGGAGGGAACTTAATCAAGACAAGAATATTTCTTTTTTCATGGCTTTTAAAAAAAAATCATTGGCAAGACTGATTAAACAGCAATCCTACCTTATTGGAAATGTTACAGAAATTTCTTCCTATTCCAGACCATTGAGGACGATTTCTTCACCTTCCCTCCAGGAAATATTAAATCACAGATTATAAAAACTGACTCAGTTCTAGTTTACTCATAAATCACCATGGCTGCCCAAATGTTTTCAACTCGCTGTTGTTTATAGTTACTTAGAAGAATTGCTATTATCTGCTCCATATGGCTTTACCGCTGATGCATATAATTATTTACGAATTCTGTTAATGTTTATTGAGGTTTCAGTGAGGGATGCTATAATATTATTTTCAAGTGTTTATAAAAAATTCTTTAGAATTTGAATTTTGGGTCTGTTATCTCAAATAGATATACATTTAAGATCTTAAACATCAACACTAAAGCGCCATACAGTCATTCCACTAAGAGTAGTTACAGAAATGTGTTTGATCTGTTGACATACTTTAGCAAATTGTTGTTGTTTTTTTGTTTATAAAAAGCATTTTTAATATATTGTGCTTCAGCAGTCTTCCATAAATCTTATTCTAGCTTAAGTTTATAGTACAGGATATCTGAAGATCAAGGGAGTTATACCAGTTTTCATTAGTACAACTTATAACCTCACAAACAAGTTTTTGGCTTTTCAGTCAACAGTCATCAGAATAAAGTCTGTTCCAAAATAAATAACCACAGTGTACAGATAGTAGAGTCAGCAACCATGTATCAAAAGTAGTATTGTTATGAAAATAAAGGTTAATAAGCACAGTCATATTTCCAGCTCCCTGTTTGTCAGCATATTGCATATCCTTAGCTAATGGAATGTGGAGGTTCAAGATTAGAAATCCTGACTTGCATAGAAAAGCTTGTGTTAAAACTAAGCTTTAGTTGCATCTATGACAAGTGACCTCAATTAACTTCTCAGTTAAAACATGGAAGCATTGTTTCTGAACAATGTAAATTTAATGCTAAGAAATTGTCATTGTTAATATGTGGCATTATCAAGTGGTATAAGTTGTAAACAAATCATGTATGAGAGTAAACAGAATACTTTGCAAATAGTTTTACTTTCAGCAATGAGTAAGATGTATAATGTCCTTTTAGTTGCTATGTATTGATGTTAAGATAAGATAGTAAGATAATCTTTATTGTCATTTACCTGAATATCAGTGGTGGGTTGCTCCTGGTTCAGGAGCATGCACAGAAGAGTTGCGAAAGCGTGAACGAGCAAACCAGTAGTAAACAAAATTGAAAACCACCACTGTGGCTGTATATGCAATGGGAGACATTAAAATGAAATTCTGATGCACCAGTCTTGAAGGAACGAATGCTACCCACTGAACAATGTCACCATTCCAAGGATAACAATAATAATATAAAAACAGCAGGAACACAAAAAATGTCAAGTTATACCAAAATGACACCAAAACTGATATTAATCACAGTCCATCTTGAATAACCCCTGAGAGTTAATAAGGCTGATATTATATGGAACAAATTTATATTTGCCGATAAAGAAATAGCGGGAGACAATCTTGGTTAATAAATATAAATTTAAC